CAGTCCTGCCATGTACAAGCTGTGTGACTTTGGGCAATTGCTCAATTTCTCTGAGCCTCAGAATTCTTAGCTCAAACTATAAATGAAATGATCCTCAGTAAAAATGTAACAAAACTAAAATTTCTCTGGAATGTTTCAAAATCACTCAAATTTCATTCTGAATTGGGAGAAAAACAAAAAGAGGCTATGAAAAGATTAAGGACTGTATTGTATCAGACAGCTAAAAATTTTTAGGGCTTTTGTTTGTTTCTATGAAAATTCAGTCCTGCGGTTGAGAAGTTCATGTCTATTATAAAATTTTGGAAATATTTTCTTCATGCTCTGTCCTATTTATATACTTATATGTAGATATATAAGCAAATGACATTGTAATGATTTTTTTAGTTATTTTCTATCACTGCCTGAAAAGTTAGGTCAGTATTATATACGTGAAGAGGATGAAGAAAAAGAAGGGTGCCAACATAATCACAGGTTGTCGTGAATACTCTAGAAGGTGAAGATTAGCTAGCAGACTACTGTCCTGGGTGCTACTCCAACATATACTGTCTCTGGAATCAATGCGCGTTACAGAAATGATATGTACACATCGACATTTTGATCTATAAATGACATTCTTTTTTTTTGGCCACACTGGGTCTTCGTTGCTGTGCGCAGGCTTTCTCTAGTTGTGGTGAGCGGGGGCTACTCTTCATTGCTGTGCGCAGGCTTCTCATTGCGGTGGCTTCTCTTGTTGCAGAGCACATGGGCTCTAGGCACGCAGGCTTCAGTAGTTGCAGCATGTGGGCTCAGTAGTGGCGGCACGTGGGCCCCAGAGTGCACGGGCTTCAGTAGTTGCAGCGCATGGGCCCAGTAGTTGCGGCGTACAGGCTCTAGAGTGCGCGGGCTTCAGTAGTTGTGGAGCACAGGCTTAGCTGCTCCACGGCATGTGGGATCTTCCCAGACCAGGGATCGAACCCCTGTCTCCTGCATTGGCAGATGGATTCTTAACCACTGCACCACCAGGGAAGTCCCTATAAATGACATTTTTAAACAGTAGTGGAGCTCAAGCAAAAGAAGCCCTTCGTAGCTATAATCCATTTACTGGGTGGTCACTCAGTGCCAGGCACTGTGCTGGATGCTTTCCTGCGTTACTTCTAATTGGGGGGATTATTCTCCCCATCCTGTAAGTGAGGAAGTAAATCTGCAGCACTTGTGTTGAGCAACTCTGGTGCCCCTCCCTGCATATCTTGCCTACCTTTTTCTAGCCATTGCTGTGTCAACCTCTGCAAGAACAAGCCTGGTGCTCACATCTGTGGATCAGGGAAGTGCAATATACCCCATGGGATGATCCTTGGCCAACAGAGTATCGAATCTGGGAAGGAATGCTCCCTTTCTCTGTTGCATTCTACACAGATTCTCAGAAGTCTTGATGGGCTACAGCCTTTGCTGCTCACCATGGGGACCAGTTGAGGAAGGGCCCTCCCCCACTGCCCCATGCTGGTTCTCTTTCCTTCCCTGTCACACTCTCCCCTGTCCCCGATTCTCCTCCCTGGGATCGTGGCCCGTACAAACACTGCACACAAGCCCTCATCCCAGGTTCTGTTCTCTGAGAGTCCAAAGCAGACGAGAAATAAAGGGGAAGGTGGGATTTCTCTTGTGACGCTATAAGCAACTCTAGTTTCTCTTTTGGTAATCTGTATTTTCTATTTATTTAAAAGATTTAAAAGATTATTTAAAAGATTTCTAGACATTTCACTACAGAATTATTACTACAACATCTTATATGCGTATATTATTTCAACTCACACACACACACACGTATAAACAAGTGACTTCTGTGATTCTAAGGACATTTTTTTTCTATGTGATAACTACACAATAAAGAAGATGGTGGTGACAGTTCGAATTACAGGTGGAGTCAGGAAAAGTCCACCTCCTCAGGCCTTTCCTCTGCCCAGTCGGCCTCACTAAGCCCTCAGTCCCACACCCTCCATCCCTCAGTTATTGCCTCTCCTGCCTAAAGCACACCTACACCTGAATCCCAGCCACACCAAACACCCCTTTACTCTCAAATCTAGGACCTTGAAGCACATCTTTTGTTCCAAGCGCTCTTTCCCTGATGTTTAAATGTAACTTTTCTGTCATTCATCTTTAGGTTCTATAAACTAGAGGTCACGTCAGGGTCCTGAAGAGCCACTGAACATCGGGGGAGGGGCTTGAATTCTAGTCCTGGCTCTGCCACTAGAGGGCTGGTGACCGGGAACCTCTGAGCAGCCTCTCTGGGCCTAAGTTCCACATCTGCACAAATGAGCCAGAGGCATCAGATGCTCTCGAGGCCCCCTTTCCAGCTATACATCCTTGTACTAATGTAATTTCCTGCTCACGAAAAACCCACTGCTAGAAAAGAGCTTCCAAGTCTGTAGTTCACTATAATGGGCTGTTGTCTTTATTTCAAAAGTAGAGCAGCTGGAAAGGACAAAAAGAAATATAAAATCAGGGCTTCCCTGGTGGTGCAGTGGTTAAGAGTCCGCCTGTCAATGCAGGGGACACGGGTTCGAGCCCTGATCTGGGAAGATCCCACATGCCATGGAGCAACTAAGCCCGTGCGCCACAACTACTGAGCCTGTGCTCTAGAGCCCACGAGCCACAACTACTGATCCCACGTGCCACAGCTACTGAAGCCCGTGTGCCTAGAGCCTGTGCTCTGCAACGAGAAGCCACCGCAATGAGAAGCCCGCACACTGCAATGAAGATACAATGCAGCCAAAAATAAATAAATAAAACAAATAAATTTAAAAATATATGTATATAAGATCAGAGAACACATTGAATAAATTCCCAAAAACTTGTTAAATGACCACAAGACAATAAAAAAAATGTTTCCTCTATTTTCTCTCTCTCTCTCTCTCTCACACACACACTCTCTCTCTCTCTCTCTCTCTCTCTGTGTGTGTCTCTCTCTCTCATGGGTTCTGTTCATTCAGTTAACAGTCTGAAATACGTAAAGCCTCATAACACTTTTATTAATAATGATTCTTTCATTTGTGCTCAAAGACTCAACTTCAGCAAGTCTCAGCACCATCACTGCTCAGCTGTTCAACCTGGGATCCCTTGGCATCTTGTGATCTTACTTCCCTTCATTGTAAAATTTAGAATTGGATCTCTTCCAACTCTATCAATACAGGATTTTTAAAAATCCTTTATACCTTAGAGTCATTTCATTTGAACCCTACAAAAATCATTATTCACAACAGGAATTTTCATTGCCACGTTATGGATGAGAAACCAAGGTGCAGAGACTAAATGATTTGCCCAAGGTCACACCCAGGCATGGAGCCTTGGGTTTTCTGGTGTCACATCTGTGCAGATTTTGCCTTTCATGCAGAGCCTCTTTAGAAGATAATTTCCCTTCATTTTAATTTGAAGATTTTTCAAAGCTTTTGAAAAGTTGACAGTACAATAAACCCCCCCATGTGTCGTTCACTTAGATTCAACAACTGCTAATATTTTGTCACATTTGTATCATTTTTCTTTCTCTCTTTATATATTTACAGTCTTTGCAAACCATTTGAAAGTAAATTGTAGACATTCTGATGCCTCATCCCTAAGTGCTTGAGTATGTATCTCCTTAGAACACGGATATTCTTCATAACCACAATACCATACCTCACCCAAGAAACGGAACACTAATCCAATAACACAACCTGATAAGCAGTCTATATTCAAATTTCCTCAAGGATCCCAAACCTGTCCCTTGTAGCTTTGTCCCCCTGGATGCAGGGGCCACTCCAGCATCATGTACTGCCTTTGGTTACTACATCTCTACAGTCTCCTTTAATCGAAAACAAGGCCCCCACCCCCAGCTCCCTTTTTTTTTCTTTCTTGATGTCGACATCTTTGAAGAGCCCAGGCTAATAGTCCCCTAACTGGATTTGCTTGCTTGTTCCCTCATAATTGGAAAACTTATTAAACAGTGAATATTTGGGAGCAGAGTTTCACAAAAAGTGACACATATACTTTCTTCCCAACTACTGGGAAGAGTGTCCCTCCTCCCTCAGTGTACACTCATGGACTCACCTGGCAGGGACCAGGATGAACAGAATGACATCTCAGGTAGCAAAAGCCACTTCAAAGTGACTTAAAAGCAGAGGTTCTCAGATTGGACCAAGAGCAGGAAAATTTCCAAAACAACATATTGAGGGAACCCACACTGGGTTGCTGCCTCTTTATTTTGCCCAGGAAGGACACTTAAAAAAAAAACCCTACCACCTATCATCATTTCATAAATCTATTGTCATTTCATAAACAGAGGTCATTTTAACAACAAAAGGTAAGCGTCAACAATCTCTGAACAAAGATTCACAAAAGGACAGTTTTCTAAAAAGGATAGTTGGCAACTTTCTCCTGATCCTATATATTTGCATCTCACCTGGTCTTTATATTTCTCATTTTGCTATGGATTGTGAAAACTGTCACGGGTAGGCACAAGAACTCAGAACTGGGGCTTCCCTGGTGGTGCAGTGGTTAAGAATCCGCCTGCCAATGCAGGGGACACGGGTTCAAGCCCTAGTCTGGGAAGATCCCACATGCTGTGGAGCAACACAACTACTGAGCCTGCATTCTAGAGCCCGTGTGCCACAACTACTGAAGCCCGCGCGCCTAGAGCCCGTGCTCTGCAACAAGAGAAGCCACCGCAATGAGAAGCCTGCGCACCGCAACAAAGAGTAGCCCCCACTCGCCGCAACCAGAGAAAAACCCTCACGCAGCAATGAAAACCCAACGCAGCCAAAAAATAAATTTAAAAAATAATAATAAAAAAGAACTCAGAACCATGAACCTCAACAGAACTCTTGGGAGCTAACTCACTAGCAACATGTGAAAGTGATTGCTTTGCCCTCCTTAATTTGCCTGACTCACGCTAGATGCGTGGTCTCCAGGAGAAAGGAGAGGGCAGGAAGGACAGGCCTGGCCACCTGTAACAGGTTTCCGTGAACCGTGCCACCTTCACCCCATGGTGTTACCTTCCTTGGAGCCTGGTGGCACGTCCTCAGAGGTGCTGCGGAACTGGGGACACAGGCCCCTCCTCAGGCTCGCTACCTCCTCGCTACTGCTTTCCAACCTCCTGGCCAGATCCCCGTTCTCTGCCTCCAGTCGTCTCTTCTCCTCCTCCAGAGCTGACTTGTCACGGACGAGGTGGCTGTAGGCTAACTCCAGCTCCCTCTGCAGCCCCTCCTGGGTGTCCCAGGGCATGGCAGCCTGGCCCAAGGTCAGGCGGTGGAGGAGGGCCTCCAGGGAGCTGAGCCGGGCTTTGGTGGACTCCAGGGCCGCGCGCTGTTCTCTGCTGTCTCTCTGCAGGTCCTGGATGGCCGACATGGCCTGGCCCTGCTCAAGGCAGCTGGACTCATTGGGGCTGGCCACGCTGAAGGTGTACTGGCATCGGCCACTGCGGTCGTTGGCCTTCCGGAACTGTGCTGTCCTGGCACCCACACCCCATACCAGACAGGCCAGCAGCAGCAGCAGCAGCAGCTGAACAGCTGGCATCTCGGGCCTGCAGTGGCAGCAACGTGCACAGAAGTCCTCAGAGCAGCCGCTGGACGAGGCTCCCTCTGGAACTCTCCCCTGCGCCGCGAGGTGTCTGGCTGGGTGGCCCGGCTGATTCCTGCCCTGGCTGCACAGAGGTTTATATATACTGGGGGAGACAGCCCTGCGTGGGGGGAGGATGAGGCGGCCACGTGAGGCTGGGTGAGGCCGTGCACAAGGGGGGGCGCTGTTTTCACACTGCCAGCAAGAGTCTTAGAAAATGACCTTCCAGAAGTCTGTTTTGAATTTCTTTTAAAAAAGAATGTCCCACTTTATGCACCCCACATCCCCATAGCAGTCCTTATATCCCCACCCTGTTTTCCCACATACACTCACACACACCCACCTCATCCAGCATGACTACTTGTGTGTCCGTTTCAACAAGGATTTATTTCTAGTTCCTATCTCCATTACTCTGCAAACTTTATTGAGAACCTGCTCTGTGTCAGGCACTGTTCTAGAAAACGGGGATACAGCCATACCTAAGACACAGTCCCTTTGTCCCTGTAGCAGTGACAGAGATGAATAACAGCCAGGCAGGATACAAAGGCAGCATGCCGCCAGGCTTAAGGGAGCAGCAATGCTTTAAAAGCAGTTAGAAGCAGAATTCTTCCCCCGCCCCTCCCTTTAAAACATATGTGGCTATATCTTTGGGAGGACGTTCTGATTCTAGTCTTGCTTCTCAGGCACCAAGGTCAGTGCTAGCCTCTAGACTAGTTCTCACCACATGTGTACGTGTGCATGCAAATGCCATTGATCTCACTGATGATATCTGTGGAAGCCTCCTCAGGAAGATTTTTTTTTTTTTGCGGTACGTGGGCCTCTCACTGTTGTGGCCTCTCCCGTTGCGGAGCACAGGCTCCGGATGCGCAGGCTCAGCGGCCATGGCTCACGGGCCCAGCCGCTCTGAGGCATGTGGGATCTTCCCGGACCGGGGCACGAACCCGTGTCCCCTGCATCGGCAGGCGGACTCTCAACCACTGAGCCACCAGGGAAGCCCAGGAAGATGTTTTTAAATGTATAAAATATATAGGATTGCAAAGGAAACATATATTGAAATACTACTATCAAAAATTTTTTAATTGAAATATACATGTCCTTTTTATTAACATCTTAAAAACAAGGTCAAGCAGGGGGGTATCTAATTTCAAAGTAGTTTTGCACATAAATACTATTGCATGCTAACTGCAACAACTGTAATGAAATGTAAAATGTCTGTGATCTCTATTGGTGGTGACAAAGTCGCAGGTACTGCTAACACAATATGGAAGGAAATGTTAAACCCAAATTTTACTTCAAAAGTGGTAAAAATAAAGATGTAGTTTTTTTCCATCCAAATTCATGAGCTTTCTGGACCCTAGGTTAATAATCCCTGCTTTATATTAATAAATCTAAAGAGAAACAAAAACCCCACCAAATATGCCAAGAAGAGGTCAACGCAAATCAGAACGTGTGCAGCAGCCTCATAGGTAACTTTTTAAATAACATTTGCATTTAAGCAATTGATGTTGTCTGATACCAATAACATCTTAAGTTTTTTTTTTTTTTTTTTTTTTTGTGGTACGCGGGCCTCTCACTGCTGTGGGCTCTCCTGTTGCGGAGCACAGGCTCCGGACGTGCAGGCTCAGTGGCCATGGCTCACAGGGCCAGCCGCTCCGCGGCATGTGGGATCTTCCCGGACCGGGGCACAAACCTGTGTCCCCTGCATCGGCAGGTGGACTCTCAACCACTGCGCCACCAGGGAAGCCCATCTTCAGTATTTTTGAAGTAAATATAATATTTCAGATGTGCCCTGGCAGTCTCTGCTCGAGATTGAGAAAATACATTTTGCTCTAAAAATTCTATTCTTATTTGATTGGTTCTAAAGTTAGACTTGAACTTGAGACACTTGCAAGTGGGTGTCTGTTTACTGCTGACTAAAGGGTACTATTCTCAGTTCCTGAATCAGGTAATAAACATTACCAAAATGATTTTTTAAAATATCTTATAGTCAGCAAGAACCGATTCAAATCTGTTTGGCTTTACTCTTAGGAATGTTCTCTTTCTGTTAAAAGGACTAAGATCGTTCCTGGGCTGCCGACTCCATGGAGGAAAAGAGTTCTGGATAAAGAGAAACGTAAGTAATTTTGCTGCATTCAGTTTGCTCAGGATAACTCTGTTTGTAAAGGAAGAACATAGGACTAGAAATCAGGTTTTCTAACTTCCCTTGAATTGATTTCCTTTTTGTGATACAGCACTGCCTAGGATAATCCAGGAGCACACAATCTGTATTTCCCGGGGCTTTTCCAGTCAGTTCCCAATGCCCTTTAGTGAATTTTTGTCTTTTTCAACCACACTTTAGCCCTCTCTTTTGCTTTATCTCCCCTAAGCTGCAGGCCAGTCACTGTTGAGCTGTGTGGGTGCCAGTCAGGGGTGAAGAGTTTAACAATCCCTGGCATTTTTGCTTGGACCAACCCAGTTTTTGACTGCCAGGCAAAAGCAATCATTCTCAACATTCTGCATGGTTCCTGGCAAATGCCACTGTGCTTAGGGAAAGAAATGTGGCTGCTGGGTTCATTGACCTTTTCTTTATCACTGTGGTTCACTGTCCCGTCTTCCCCCTGGAGCCGGATATGATAAGGACTGACCAGACCCTCATATTCTGCCTTTTTCCCCTGACCCGTCATCACGACCCCTATTTACACCTCACTGCCAGAGTTCTGTCTGCTGCCCGCTCTTAGCATCTCCCTCTCAAAGCCCTCATGGAACACTCGAGCCACCAGGGCACTTACTGATGAGAAAGGACAGGGACTTGCCCAAGGTCACACAGCCAATGAGTGGCAGAACCAGAAAGAAAACCGAGGTCTCCAGGTTCCAAGGTTTTCCATCTTCTCGCCTAAGCCTAGTCTACCCAAGGGCCCACTAATTGCCCAGAATACGTGAAAGACTCCAGTCACTTCTTCAAGGAATCACCGCTCTAGGAAATGAGCTAGCTTCCTATATTCCCATTAATGAAGCAAACCCATGCATACCCTTGAGTTTTCACAGCTGATTTTACAAAACTGCATCCTTTCATGAAATAGAGTTATTTCCCTAAAAGCAGAGAAAAGGGCTCACTAGAAGACACAGGAAACTTTCCAGCCCCGTGAACAGCAATAAACATGTGGTCGGCTTCCTCCTGCCCTTTTCACCCTGCTGCCTTTCACCACCCTCCCCGCGCCAGCGCCCGACTCCCCGCGCCAGTCTCCACCTCCTGGAACCCTGGACATGGAGACCCCTTTCCCTCTGACGAAACCCTGTCCACTCCAGATTCGCCGTTAGACTGTGTGTTCCAGTTGCATTTCCTTTCCGGAGTGTGGAGCCAGGGAGTCTCCAGCTCAGGTGCTCCCGGCAGCCGGAAAGGTGTGCGTCCGGCCACCCACAGAGCTAGGTTTGTGGCCGGAGCAGGCACGGAAGGCGCTGGCCTGGGGCATCCGTGCAAGATGGGGGCAGCAGGGGGCACGAGGGAGCGGCATGCTTAAGGAGCATCCGTTACATTTCGTTTCGAGGTTGTGTTTATTTCCATTCTTTTAGCCTGGGGTTTAAGCTGGTTGGCTACTGGTTTTCTTCTGCAGTTCTTCCACGAGAAACTGGAACCTTCATGAAGGTAGAGCTGGGACCACTTGGCTCACCATCTTGTCCCCAGGGTCAGGCAGATACAAGCGCTCAATACATTTTCAGTGGATTCGTGGGTGGGTACATAATTCAAGCAGAAATAGAATACAAAAGCGCCCTCAGGCATGAGAGTAAAGCCATGGATGGTGCCATCTTCTGGGCTGCTCAGGACCCTCTGGGCACCACCCTGGGGTCTGCCAGCAGGGCTCTCCCAGCTGGAGAGGAAGCCTTTGCTGGGGGCACACTCCTCTCCCCCAAATGCACACACATAGCCTCCACTGGGATTATTTTATGTATGCCTTTATTTCACTACGGATAAGGAGGCTTACTACAAAACACTGGTGAATTAAAATGGTAACTTACTACCACGAAAATGAGGACCAGGGAAGGGACTGATGAGACGCAGTCTTACCCGGGGAGCTCAAGGCACCATTCTCCACCCCGCAGCTTTCCTCTGTTTCCCAGGTGGTTCATCATTGAAGTGATTCATTATTAAGCACGTACTGTGTGCTAAGGGCTGTGGCATACACAGGAATATGTAGGAGGTGGACCCCATCCTCAAGGATCTCTCAGGCTGTAATGCTGGGTGGGGCTGGTGGAGTAACCTAAGTGCTGGAGAAGCCTAGGGGAGGTGGGTGTCCCTCATGAACGGGGGGGCTTCACAGGGGAGATGCATCTGTAAAGAGACCTAAAGAGATGACATGTTAACAGTTGCTCAGGTCCTCGGGTTGCGACTGGTTATAGGTCTGCCTTGGGTTCTTTCAGTGTACCTTGTGTCTAATGACAAGCCATGCGGAATCACTTTCAGATTAAACATGTCTATTTCCTCTGTGGCTGCATCCCACCACCCTTTGACCCAAAGCAGGAAGCCGGTGGGGGGGGGGGGGATCTTAAGCCATTGAGCCCTGCACATTCTCTTCCATCCAGTGCTTGTCTGGTGCTGTCCAATGGGAGCTGGCCCTGGGCACTGGGGCATCCTCTCCCTATTGGGAGAGAGAGAGACTTACAAGGGTAGGACCCAGCAGCTGCAGCTACAAGGTATAGCCCAGGAGCTTGTCCCTGCCTGGAGAGGAAGGCTTTTATGAGACCTGAATGTATATAGGGACAGCCCTCGTGGCAGTTCTGAGAGCTCCAAATGTCATGCTAGCATCTAGAGAGTGTCAAACCACACTTAAGTTATCACAGTAACATTGTTGGCAATTTTCATCCTACAGATTCTACCACTAGTGCCATGAACATCCCATGAAGCCTTATTATATGGCATGTTAAGCTGGTTTTCTCCCAGCTATTAATGGGTAGGATTTCTATAGGGGATTGGCGGGTGGGATATGGAGATATGAAAGGAAGGACAGGAAGAAAAAGTGAGACACTTTCGAAAGACCAAACAATAGCCCAGTTTGAAAAAGAGCATCAGGCCTGTGTTACAAGGGCTGTG